TAAGAGCAGTAATTTTGTTAAGAGAGATGAAATGGGGAAAAAACCTGGGCTAGTAACATTCTGTTTTTGCTTTTATTAGTTATTTTTAAATTGTATTCATTTGGTATTTTGCTTTGATAAAGTCCACATTGGACGAAACGCGTCAGCAATTACTAGTTTTCCTATTGTCATTTTTATTCATAAATATTGTCGTCTCTACTGGTTAAATCGGAGAAATTTTCATATATCTATATCCACAGCATCATCTAATCTAAAAAAAAATTATTATATATATATATATATATATATATATATATTTTTTCTTAAAAAGACTTATTTGGATTATCCTTATCACTTACGGATTATGATATATATATATATATATATATATATATATATATATATATATATATATATATATATCGACCATTTTATTGGAAGTATTAAAAATTCATGATACTTATCGGAGGTCGATTCAGAATTTCGTGATTACTCGCTCGTCAGGACTCACACGAGATGAATTTTATTAATTATAACAAACTGTTTTATTTTATAAAACTTTATTGTAACCGTTAACTAAATTTTCTAATTAATTTTCTTTTCGAATTACAATTGGCAATCCTCTAAATTCGGTACAATAATTGAATAGGTGGCATTAATATAATTTTAACACACACACACACACATATATATATTTATATATATGGGATAACGATATATAAATGTTTATATAAATTCTATATATCAAGAACAGTTTTGAAAGAAAAGCTGTATGACAAGTTTTTTCACAAAATATTTTTTCAATTTGACCCAAAGATATATATATGTATGTGTGTGTGTGTGTGTGTATGCACACACATATATCTTTATATATATGTGTGTATATATATATATATATATATATATATATATAATCGACTCTCGAGATTCAACGTATGAGAGTCAAGCAGATCAGTTTTCAGGAAACCGACAGCCCGACACCGGCACATGAGATTTGATTATAGTGGTGAAGGTTTCGTGCAGGACCATCCACACTTTTTGAAGGGACGAATACAGAGACCTGGTGCACCGAATGCCACAAGGTTCCCAAACGACCCTCCGCAGGTTTTGAATTCAGAGTTGTCCTTCTCCTAGACCAGTTGCCATCCAAGGCTATAGAACCCAGTCTGTCCTGCTATTTTACCCATAGATGGAGGGAGAGGATTCATACCTTTCCCAAGGGTATTAGCACGTAAGTGATGTAATGGATTCGACTGGAATTCGAACTCGTCTCTGCGATTCCTCAATCCAAGCCGCTATCCATTACTCCACCGTGCCTTCTCTATATATATGTCTGGTAATGTACATGCGTTTAATCCCTGAAAATGATTGGTGGAGTAAGGTGGAAAACTTGTAGTTGAAGCGAGCTTGCTGCGCAGCCCGTCCCTGCTTTATAGCGAGTTCAAAACTCAGTGCGTACCCAACACATGTAGATGTATATTTTGTAAAAGCAGATAAACACTGTCGTTATACCTTATTCTTAAAAGTCCAAGGGAAGTAGGACAAGATGCCAGCTCATTGGTTTCAATGCGAATCTCCAGGGGATTATACCAATTCGTATAAAGAGACATAACCATTTTACATAACCTTCAACCAATACGAGGGCTAAGAGCCTATCAAGTTACTAAATGAAGGTGATTTGGGACGTAAGACGGGGAAATAAGTACACATTATGAAAATAGAAAGAATAGATAAAGGTTGACCTGAAAAAAAAACCTCTCCGAATTGAAAATCTTCCTTACCAATGGAATACAGAGAAGAGGAGGATTGATTGCCTCCCGTGTATATGACATAATGGTTCTGTTCTGTAAATGTCTAAACTCGTGGAACTAGGAAATATATCACGCGCGAGAAGTTATTGGACTTCCGTTAAAAATGCGACTAAAGATCGATTCGTAGAATTTTAATGAAGTGCGTTTGGGTCAGACAGAAAGCTTTTCAGTACCCCCTTGTAGAATGTAAGACAGAGAAGAAAAAGTAGTTTTCTTTAATATCTATAAATATATAGGTATTGTTTACGGATTTGACACAAAACTTGGGAAAATGGAAGAGAACGTTTTTTAGTTTGGAGATGTCATTCATCACGAAAACGAGACTGGAGCAGCAGAAGCTTTGACCCTTTCATCTGGTCGGTAAGTTCAAGAACTAAAATATGACAAATGTAATAGTTATACACACATACATACACATCAATGTGTATGATTATATATCGATCCATAGGCGCACAGACACGCATATATAAATATATATATATATATATACACACACACACATATATATATACAAATGCAGATCATAAACATGCATGCGTACACATATATAGATACATGATACGCTAAAATCGTGATACGCATAAAATATACGCTCAAATATAATATAGAGACACACGTATCATATATATAAACTTTATAAACTAAATGCATATATATATATATATATATATATATATATATATATATATATATATGTATATATATATATATAGAGAGAGAGTGAAAGGGATAGCGAGAGTGAAAGAGACATAGAGAGATAGATAACGTATAGGTATGTATGTGATAAAATATAGTTCAATAATGTATAATGTGACATATTGTTGGGGTAAAACTGCTCAGTATCCAGGATATAATGCGCGTAAATAGAAGCAGTGGGGACGCAGACAACATATATATATATATATATATATATATATATATATATATATATATATATATATATATATATATGATAAATTAAAAAACAAACATCTTAAAATTACATTGGTTATATATATTCCTCTTCGAACCAATTATTTTCAAGAAATGGAATGAATCTTCCAGACAGATATACCGGGTTAAAAAAAGAAAACGTGGTAAAAAAAGAAGAAAAACAGAAGAAAATAAATAGTAATATATATATATATATATATATATATATATATATATATATAGAGAGAGAGAGAGAGAGAGATAGATAGATAGATAGATAGATAGATATCAAGGAATAAGTGTTATTTAAAAGGCATCTCAGTGTACATTTAATAGATAAAAAACCACTGGTTTCGTCCCAGTCTTATCAAGTTTAATTCTGGAAATAGAATAATTGACATGTAAAGTAAAGATGACTAATGAAGTGGGGAAAAAATTTCAAGGAATACTAGAGACCAATAATATCCAGACCCAACAATCCCTCTGTTTACAGCGGGAAGGCTTGCGGGATGTGATGTATAAGGACTCCAGAACCTTGAGATGATATAAAAAGTGGGACCTTGATAGAACTGAAAAACGGTCCACACTAAGGTCAGTATTACAAATCCTGTTATTAATAATATATTGTGCAATAAATCACCCGGATGTATTAACTAGTTAACTATTGCTACCGGCCGGATTCAAAATCCCGGGAGGTGTGTGTATATATATATATATATATATATATATATATATATATAAGCAAATATATTGATATAGATCCGACAGTATGAAGAAAAATATACGGAAAAAACAAACAAAAATCCTAATATGCGATTATGCTGTTTTAATGAATACTCAAATTTTAGGAATACGTTTTCACAACATCGCCCACGTGACGACGACGTGATCATATTTAAACGGAACGCAGATCTTATAAAAGATTTCAGTTATCTGTTTGGATTGGTATTGCTTTTATGTCCATCGTCTTTTTCATGTTGAATTGTATATGGTCTATGTTATTTATGTTTTATGAATATGTCCTGAAGATAGTCTATTAGACCGAAACGTCCGACGTTGACATTATATTAACATTAAAACAGCATAATTGCATATTAGGATTTTTTTCGTTTGTTTTTTTTTCGTATATTTTTCTTTCATATATATATATATATATATATATATATATATATATATATATATATATATATATATATATATATATATATATATATATATATATATATATATATATATATATATATATATATATATTTCATATGTGTTTCTGTGTTTGCGTGAGTACATTTTGACTAGAATTGTATAATATATCGTATAAAGTCAATTTTCTGATACAGGCAAAGAAATCCTGCAAAATGATGTTGAAGTAATGTACACATAAATTAAGAGATATATGAGGGTTAAATATGACATCAGTCATTATTTATTAGATGTATGCAACAGCTCTCAGTGCACTCTTGCAATATACTCAGTATATTGAGGAATATTGTTTTTTTTTTCGTTCGAGGATTTTGCACATATTTAATACAAGAGAAAAAGAAGTTCTTCGAAAGTTAAAATTTATTGGAATAAACACTTCGTCATGGGTACAGAAAAAATCACTCGAGAATGAGTAATTGTTTTTATAAGAAACTAATTTGATGTGCGCTGAAAATTATAACTGAGAATGATACATGCACAAATTGGCGGGCGGCAGGGGAATTAGAAGAGTATTGTTTCAACTGACGTGAATTTTTCCTGGTGTAAAAATATCAACATTCAAATTCCTGATTCTTGAATTGAACAAAAAATACTGACACTAATAAGCTGTTAATAATAATAACAACAACAATTAATAGGAAGGGATTTGAATTAACTTAATCTGTATAAAAACTTAATTTGGATACACGCACTGCAAATACAAAGATAAATACATAAGAATCTCTCCCCCCTCTCTCTCTCTCTCTATATATATATATATATATATATATATATATCATTAAGCAATAGAGACAAAAATTCATAGCTACTGCGGATAAATTTAAAATTTTAAACAAGTGTAAAAGAGCGCGTTCATGCGTGTTTTTAAAAAATCACCTTCACAACGGAATGCTGATCTTATCGCAGTTGCAATACGTTTGTCTTTGTAAGATGATCTTGTAAAAGATTTAAAGTACTTGTGTCAAAAAAAATTACGGTGCCTTTCTTGCTGAATTTCATTTTAACATGAAGAAGTTGATTCGACACCTGGAAAGGATCAGTTTAAAAATACATAGATATATAATGGCTATATTGCCCAATGCAATATCTTTGCATGAGGATATACTGCCTAAATATACATACATACATACATATCTATCTATCTATCTATCTATCTATCTATCTATCTATCTATCTATCTATCTATCTATCTATCTATCTATCTATGCGCGTGTGTGTATGTGTGTGTATGTGAGAGTGAGAAAGAGATGAGGTGGGTTTATATATGCATGTAATAAAAAACAAAACAAACAAATATGTTTCACGCAGTTATGAATATACATGTCATACACACAAAGAGACACACACAAACAGGCACACACATTATGCGTATTTAAATTTCGATGTAAATCATATATGTGTGTTATACATCTTTATATATGTGAGAATACATACCGTATATTTCCGCGTATAAGACGACCTTTAAAACACAAAAATCTCCCTTAAAAATTGGTGGTCGTCTTATACAACGATTCTAAAAAAGTAACCTTAAATCCTGAGGGATTTTTGTTTCGTAGACTAACATCGGTCTTGGTGCGATAAACAATAAAGTACAAGAAAAGTTTTATGAAATAAACTGATCATAAATGTATTAAAACAATGTCTACCTCATACATTACTGGCATAACTTTATAATAAATGCCTATTCGAAGAATAATTCCATATCAATTAAATCAACTTGTATCTATGGAAGCTCAACTGAGAAAATATAAACATCAAGTTATGATCGCATTCACAGCAAATTTTATCTTTCGTTAAACTTTCAACAATCAAACACACACACAGACATATATATATATATATATATATATATATATATTAAGTGGGATCAATTTTGGATCGGAGTACGACAGAATGATAGGATAAAGATCAAATAGGAACCATAATTCTAAAATGTTTCGCTTTTATTAAAACTTCTTCAGAGAATGAGATATGGAAACAATTTTTTATTTTTTTTACTTATGTGTTCAATTTAACTGGTTAAGCATTCTTCACGTACATTTGAATAGTCAAGCAGTGTTTGTTTGCATAATTTATGTATGTAAGTGTATCATAATTCTAGTTTGTCTATGCGGGATTCGAATAATAATGTATATATGCAAGTGTTTTGTCTGCGTGTGTATCTAGTAAACCTCATTTATGTTTGGTGGTTGTCCGAATTTTGATTTGGGGTCGATGTTACGTCAACCACGGACGTAGTTGTTAAATATATTTTAGATTCTTTAGTAAAGGCTGGTGGTGTAATATATGAGCCGGATGAGTAACTAGATAGGTGACCGCTTATGAATACAAGGTGCTGTAAGCATATATTTGCTGCTGGTGAAATGAATAACGGATTTGATTTAGAAGTCGGAGAGCCGAGTTTAAATTCTAGGCGGGTTCTTTCTATCCAGTTGCACGTAAATAACCCTGAGAAAATAATGAATCCACCACATCTACCCCTGGTTATGGGTTAATAACTAGTATTTGTATCAGAAAGTTCTTATTGTATCAAAAATTCATACAATCTGAAAATACTTTCCAGTTTGAAATGACCTGAAGATGGTTGATAAGACGTAAGAATAAAATCTGTACTGGGTATTTATTTTGAACTCCATGAGGGGCATAGTAATCGGGAATTTGTCACAAACTAAAGTTAGTAGCTAAATTTATGGCTGCCTCGATAGTATGGTTAACGAGTTTGTGTAGTTGACCGTAAGTATTAAATTCAGTCCTCACTGGTGAATATACGTGCGGTCAAGGACAAAACTAGCCCAGTTCCAAAGAATACCCCGACAATTCTTTTTTGGGTCAATAGGGAAGATGCTGGTTGTATATTAAAATATAGGAAACGGAAAAAAGACAAAAAAAAAAAAACAGATGCTACATCGATTTTAGATAAAATACGAAACTTATGTATGAAAAAACGAACTATATTATAGGTAATAGTAAGCAAAATTCGTATCTAGAAATATATATATATATATATATATATATATATATATATATATATATATATATATATAAAAAGGCTTAAACACTAATATCCATGGTCATAATTTATTCCATTTACGATTCCAATGGAATAAATTATGAATACGGAAATATTAGTGTTTCAGCCTTTTTATTATATCCTTACTCTATCCTAGACATTGAGTTCTACATGGATTCTTCCTCTTGAAATTTTGTTTCTAAAAATATACATGTATGGGTATTTATATATTTTGCATATGTATGTATATTTTCCACTAATATTATCTATCTATCTATCTATCTATCTATCTATATATTTATAAATTCATTATCAAGAAATATATATATATATATATATATATATATATATATATATATATATATATATATTTCATTATCGCATATGTATTTTGGTACAAATGACAAGCAATTTGTACACCAACTTTCATATATATATATATATATATATATATATATATATATATATATAGATAGATAGATATAGGTATGTCTATCTATCTATCTATCTATCTATCTATCTATCTATATATATATATATATGTATGTATGTATAAAATTATTTAGTGATTCACTATTAGAGGTGCGGGCAACAATTGCACCACGTCTATGCATATATATATATATATATATATATATATATATATATATATATATATATGTGTGTGTGTGTGTGTGTGTGTGTATAGACATATAGATATTATAAATATAAAGGCCTATATACTTATATATAGACAGATATATTATATATATATATATATATATATATATATATATATATGCCAAATTTATCATTGGTATTGAAACCTGTTATATAAATATAGAAAATTACACCTGCATACACACACACATATATATATATTGCTGGAAAAACATTGACAAGGATATATTTGTGTGTATATATATATATATATATATATATATATATATATATATATATATATATATATATATATATATATATATATATATATATATATATATATATATATATACTTTAATCTATCAATAGATTCGATATTCAAGCAAATATCTAATAACTCAAAGTTTATAATATATATATATATATATATATATATATATATAAGGAGATTTTTCTGTATATGTTACTTCGTTATATGTGCAGCTGTGTAAGCATAGTGCGCTGCATTATAGAACATATCTGCTTAGCACACACAAACCTGTTTGCATATGCCACCATACCATACGAAATTGCATGGTTCCGTTGGGAGATGCCTCCGGGAAGCAGACGACAATTTCCCGCCAAATATTCTCACGTGAAGGTATTCATAACCCTTTATTTCCGGTACGCGTATCTAGAAGTTTGGCCAATCGAGTAATCAGATGGCGCATCTTTTTCTCAAAGGCATTACGAGATTGCTTTGTTTTACTGTCAGATTTTGCAGTAAAAATGTCTCGGCTGGTGTTTCCCAGCAGATGCCGTTGTTATTTGTACACTGTTCGAGCCAATCAAATACTTCAATCGCATGCAGAAAACGGAATGTCCGTTTAGATTAAAGCGAAGATGGTTTTAGAAACTCTCTATTATTATATTGAATGCTTTTAAACACAAATACCAATTGATTATTTTCAGTGGACGTCAAATAACTGTAAATCTCGTCTCGATTCTTTTTTCATACTGGAGAGTTTGTAGTCTCGTTTTTTTTCCATGGATTTCTAATTTTTATAGATATTTCGTTAGGTCTTAAGTTTCTTTGTAACCCAGTACCATATAGATTAATCTACAGGCTTTGTTCTCATTCTTGATAAATACAGGGTGTAATGGGTAAATTGTTGTCTAAATTATGCAAAAATGAAAATAACGCTGACATTTTATCAGATATATTTACCAAAATTGCAATAAAAGTTCTTGAAATATGAAAGATTATACAATATTTAATTCAATAAAATCGCTACTGGCTTCAACCTCGGCCTACAGGCGACTTGCGATTCTCCTGCATCTCTTCTGGTGGGTCTTTTTGTTTAAGTTGGTGAATGCTGCCATAATTTTTGTATTCAGTTCAGCTTTGGCGTTACAAGGGGTTTTGTTGGACTCTCACTCAACTGCGTTCCGCAAATAATAATCAAGAGTCTTGCATTCTGGGGGGTTAGGTGTCCACATATAAAGGATGATGTGGTCAAAGGAACTGACATGACTTGTTTCTTCTGCTTGTGGGGCATTATGCAGATGCTGTTCCAGCAGACACCCTCTTGACATAGAGCATCACTACCTCTTCAAGGCACTTGATGTCGTCTTCCGTGTTAAGTCTTAGGCCCTCACTAACCAATTCGGGAGTCATTTTCTTATCAGAACGATCAAAGTGAGTTTTCCGACATGCCGTACCTTCGTAATCACAACTAGGCTCATCCAGCTGCAAGGATCTCAGATTGGCTCCCAAATACTATTCAGTGTACGTATTTGAGCTTCCGGAGCGAATGCCAAGCAGTATAGCACACTGTTTTCAAATTTCTGGCGGTGTGAATTGCATCATGGTGTTCTTTATATCAGAGAAGATGCCCAAATGACCCTACTATAACCCGCAATCGACAAAATCAAAAAACAAAGCAATGCGCAGGTGCGAAATTAAACATAAAATGGCGACAATTTAACCATCGCACGGTTTATCTAGTTTAAAGGAAAGTTAGACTGGAGCATGGCATTTTACTATCAACTGCTTGTGGTGTGTAATAGTAATGATAAGATTAGCCGTTTCCTGATAAGGAAATATTCAGCATTCATTGGTTGAATAACCAGTACGACGATTGGTTAAAATTTATAAAATCTTTCTCTTAAAATAAATTATCAGTAGGTTAGTAGTCTCAAGTTTACTAACTTACTCTTTCGTATATTGACGGGACTTCCTTCCTAAACTTTTCCTGTGGAACATCAATGTCTTAATTAAGTCATTGTAGCTATCCATTGTAGTTGTTGCTGCTACTGAAAGTCCTCAAGGGATGTCGTTTCTGTTTTTTGATACAGTTCTTTATCTGTAATTCTCTAGCTCCAGTCCACATTGTTAGAAAACGGATTTCGTTCGTCATGACCAGAAGCTTCCCACACTCAGCCAGTTGTAGCCATTGATCATAGAAAGTGATTTTTATACAGCTGGCAGTTTAGATATTTCTGAAAGGGTTTGGCGCCCTGCATGGCATCGATATGGAAGTCTCGATCTAATGAGGCCATTCAAGAAGATGACACGAAG